TATATATGTTTTATTTTAATCAATAACAATATAAGTCAAAGACTATTGTAAAAAAAATCTTACTAATTTTCTACATTTAGGGACAATGGAAAGAGTTGTATATATAATTTTAATATGTTGTGAAATTGAGAAATAGAACCAAGACACCGTCGAGCTAATAAATAAAATTAAAGTAGAGAGAAAACATAAAGAATTTCCACCTAAATTTCTATTGTATTTGCGAGAGAAAGTGTAAAATAATTTCGTTCACTTTTTGGTGTATTTTACACACAGAATTCACCCCCTTTTGTAGTATACCAGGTAGGCATACACATTAGTGAGTAAGGGTTATGTACAACATTTGTTATCTTGATTGTGTTATAATAAATAGAGGACAAGTGTGTTGGTGTGTGCTTGACACCAAGGCAACAAGGTATATGGGCATCTACTGAATAAATAATATTCACAATACACCTCCTTAAATGCTCGTTATTTATATGATATATGCCTCGTTAAAACCTTACTAGGAAAAAGACCCGATCAGAAAAAATCCTACTAAAGGAAAAAGAGTACATATTTCATATAATTTTAATAAACCAAAAAATACAATGTACTTGCTCCCCTTATGGAAACATCACTTTACATCTCTAAGTCACTGCATTCACAATATTGTGTATCAAATTTTCAATTGTTGTAGTAGGTAATGGTTTTGTAAATATATTTGTCAGGTTATCATTCGAACAAATTTGTGGTATATTCATGTCGCCATTTTCTTCCAGACCACGAGTGTTGAAAGTGAAATATGCTTTGTTTTATCCCCTTTAATATATCCTCATTTGATTTGAGATATACATGTTGTGTTGTCTTCGTATAATATTGTTGGAAGATTTTTACTAGAAGAAAGGTTGCATGTAACATCTCAGCATGATTTGAAAAGGTGGTTGTTATTGTCTGTTTCACCGATCTCCATGATATAGCTAGCTAGTACAAAATCGGGTTTTAATGACAGGCATTGCCCATCATTGAAGGGAAACGATGTCGAACATGCGTCTGACATCTTTTCGAGTGTTATTGTAACTTTTTATGTCAGACGGGTATCAATGACGAGCTGGACCCGTCATTGTAGGTGACCGTTGAAACAATGACGGTCACTTATGATTTCGGTCATGGCCTGATATCTATTCTTGTGTTATTGTAGCATAATGTCAGTAATTAAATGTTCGTCATTAAATGTCCGTCATTAAACGTTTGTTTTCAATGGCTGGCAATGACCGTCATTGCTTGGGTAATAATTTAATTAAAAAAAATTGTTGGTTGCTCATGTAGGCTAACCAACAATCTTTCTCAATTTCTTAACCTAGGCATAAATCTTAATAGTCTTCTAAAATTTGCAATTACTTAGTCAAAACACATGTATAATATAAACAACAACCTTCTTCTTCTTTATACATAATTCAATAGACAATAAAGATTTACTACTCATTCATCAAACATAACTCAAACGAAAAAACATGTGTAATCACCTCTTTTACATAATTCGATAGACAATAAAGATTCAATTTTAATTCATCATACATAACTCAAACAAAAATGTCAGAATTTTAGCATGACCTTTGTTCAAATATCCTAAAATTACACGTGCTAACTCATAAACCTTTTAAGGATTACACCCTTCGGTGGACCATCCGTGGAGAATTTGTAGTTGCAACCCATTGTATTCTCCTCATATAATGCCAATTGTTGAATGATATATTCCTCTGTACAAAGCAAAATACTCTCTTGTAGAAAAGTCAATCTGTTACACAGTGCTCAGCATAAACATAAATGGACATCAAAAGATAAAACTGAGCATCAAAATTAATCCAAATAGAAAAAAAAAATGTTCCAACAAACAGAAAGTCCATTAAGAAATGTGCTGACAAATGAATGAGAAGAGGGTAAAAATAAATTATAGAAACATACACTGATCATAAAGTCGATTGATATAATTCGGGGTTGATCCAATCCAATAACAATTCAACTAGATTTGAATATCTAGTCATAGACGATTGAGAAGATGCATCGAGATTTTCGTATCCAACAAAATTCCTGCAAGCTAGAACAAAGGAGATGTATGTTAGAAATTAAACCTCAAAGAATGCTTCTCTCAAAATCTGTTTCAAGAAAATGTACAATCCCAACCGGGTACAATGACTAAATAAGAACAAATGTTCTGTATAGTAGAAATTAGGTTTGAAGTAAATGATAGGCATCTTCATAATAATTATCAGTTAGAAGGGTGAAAAGGTTCACAGTATAAATAAAGAGCAAAAATAGCCTGTTTTAGTGGCATAACCTTGTCAATGGCATATTTTCATCCATTTGCTGCAARTACARCCAYTCTATTGGCTCTTRCWWWTGCAAGAGCCAAATATCYGTCAAGTGTTTTCATTTCTTCCTAAAGGACACAAAAATAAATGTCAAATATTTTTGTAATGCACTACGAGATTCAAAATAAGTAGTACATGCATGTCAAGCGTTTCCTTTGCTCTAAATCTCATCACTTGCTTCTATTAATATCTTGACGGTTCCCTACCTGTGAACAAAATAACATCTCAATTGGATATTGTATTATTAAATCACAAAATTAACCAAACAAATATAACTTTAATTAACTTTAGCAGATAAGGACCATTCAATTAAGTTTTGCACATAATTAAACAATTCTCTATCTCTCTACAAGTTAAATTCAATGCTCCAATAATTCACTACTATAATTAGAGCAGGGCATTTGATATAGTTCTTTTCAGATGATTAAGGATGCAACTCACAAAAGTCATCATATCTTACCATCTTTACTACATAACGAGCTTAAGGAATCTCCCATAATATACTTTCATACAAAATTGTAAGATATCTTTTGCTTTTGCGTAAAAAACCATAGTAATAGTTCGGATATGGAAGACATTAGAAATAACAGTGTATGCTACCATTGTGAAGAAACATTTGCAATCACTAATGGCGTCAATGAAAAGCAGTTCATATAACGTAAAAAAAAAACAACAAACAAAAATAGCCACTGAATTTATAACATGCCCAGGAAGCAAATCTAGCAAGAGAAGTTCTCAATTATACTTCTAATTTTAAAAAAATCATATAAAATCTTAGTCGCAAAAGCTTGAGAACTCCTCAAACTGTTCTCAGATACCCAAACAACATTATTTCCTCCGTCAAGAACAGCATTGCCAAACATTCTCAAGATCTTGCATATTCAAAAAGTGAACGAACAAAACCCCAAGAATATAGAAAATAATAATTTTTAGTAATGAGAAATATGACGTATTCTCATTAACATGATAAAATAATACATCAGAGGTCTATATATATATATATATACAAAGACTAAGCTCACTAAATACAATGTGAACATAACTGAATACATAATAGATTAACCAATCTAGGTAAGAGTAATAACAATTTTAACCTCTAATACTCCCCCTCAAGATGTGCAAAAAAGATCTAAAAGACCTATCTTGGACATAAGAAATTGATAACAGAGAAGACCAACGGCTTAGTAAAGTCATCTGCTAGCTGATGAGTGGAACAAACTGGTAAGAGGCGAAGAAAACCATCTGGCACATGATCTCGAACTAAATGACAGTCCAACTCTATATGTTTAGTGCGTTCATGAAACACCGGGTTAGTAGCCAAGTGAATTGCTGCTTGAACAGTAACTTGCAAGTCTTGAAGCAAATGAGAAAGCCATAGAAGTTCACAAGAAATAGCAGCCAAAGACCTGAATTCGGCCTCAGCAGAAGATCGTGATATAGTAGTTTGCTTTTTAGACTTCCAAGAAATCAACGATGTTCCCATAAACACACAAAACCTTATAGTAGACCGACGAGTATCAAGGCAAGAACCTCAATCAGCATCTACATAAGTACGTAACTGAAAAGAAGAAATGACATAAAGGAAGACACCTTGCCCTAGTGGCCCTTTCAGATAATGCAACAAATATAAAGCTGCCTGATAGTGAGTACTAGAGGGCTTAGAAACAAACTGGCGTCGATGTGCAGCATATGTGACGCCAGGCCTTGAGATAGTAAGATACAAGAGTCTACCAATGAGTCTGCGATAAGAGGTGGAATCATGTAGAGGACTCCCATCAACAAGACAAAGCTTTGTAGAGGGATCCATAGGAAGAGCTGTTGGTTTACACCAAAGCAGACCATACGCCTCCAGAAGAGTGAGGGTATAATGCCTCTAAGACAAACAAATACCCTTGGCAGTTCAAGCAATTTCAAGACCAAGAATGTATTTCAATGAGCCAAGATCTTTAAGCCGAAACCGATCATGAAGTAGAGTTTGTAGATCACAAATAACAGAGATACTAGCCCCAGTAATAACTATATCATCCGCATATACAACCAAATCCCAAAAAGTATCACCATTGCCACGAATGAAAAGAGAGTAATCAGACTTGGACTGCCGAAAACCAAGGCCTAACAAAATGGTGGAAAACTTGGCAAACCACTGACAAGAGACTTGTTTCAAACCATATATAGATTTATTCAACCAACAAACCAAACGCTCCCCTTGAGGACAAGAAGTAAAGGGAGGTTGATAGCCAAGCGGTAAGTCCATGTATACTTCCTCAGCCAGATCACAATGGAGGAAGGCATTATTGAAATCCAACTGAAAGAGAGGCCAGGATTTGGAAACTGCAAGAATGAGAAGAACTTTGAGAGTGACCATTTTAGCCACTAGAGAAAAAGTCTCTATGAAGTCGAGTCCTTCTTGTTGAGTGTATCCCTTGGCCACTAGACGAGCCTTGTAACATTTGATTGAACCATCAGATTTAAGTTTGACATTATAAATTCAGCGACAACTGACAGAGTGGGGATGATTAGGAAGGGAAACCACAGTCCAAGTATGATTATCAGTCATAGATTGCAATTCATGGCTTCACGCCAATGAGAATGACAAATGACTTGGTGATAAAACTGAGGCTTATATGTAGAGGAGACATTTAAAACATAATGTCAATGAGCAGAAGAAAGCCGTGAATATGATAAATACTGCTGTAAGGGATGCCTTGTAGAAGCGGGAGATGGCAAAGAGTTAGTCAAAAGACTACAATGAAAATCCTGTAAATATGAAGGCATTTTGGAAGGCCTAGTAGAACGCCGAGGGACAATATCCAAAGGTACAATCGAAGATCCTGTGTTAGACATAGGTGTAGACACACTAGGTGCTGTGTTAGGCATAGGTTCAGACACAACTGGCGTGGATGAAGACCCATCAGCACTAGGCACAGTGGCAGGAGCACATGGCTCAATGGGAACAGTAGGGGAAATGATAGTAGTAGGTACAACAGCTGGTATATCGATATCAGCATTAGTCATATCAATATGATCAGCAGGCATATCAATTTGAAAATCAATGACATTTGGCAAAACCAAGTCTGGAAAAGGGTTAACTGATACATCATTACCCGAGGATTCCAAAAATGGGAACTTAGTTTCATGAAAAATCACATCACGAGAGAAATAAGCATTGAGTTTAAATATCAAATAGTCGATAACCTTTTATCCCTGGTGGATAGCGAAGAAAGACTGCCACACGAGATCTAGGTTCAAACTTTGTGCGATGAGAAGCTAAGGTAGAGGCATGGCACAAAGATCAAAAGGTTCTCAACATCGAGTAATTAGGATCAGTTTTATACAGGACTTGAAAAGAAGACTACCATTTCAAAACAGGCAAATGAGTCCTATTAATAAGGTATGCAGCTGTAAGAACACACTCACTCCAAAATTTGAGAGGAATCCTTGACTGAAAGTATAAGTCCCGAGCAACATTCTAGAGGTGTTGGTGTTTACGATCAGCAACAGAATTTGTTGAGGTCTCTCAACACATGAAAACTGATGAATGACACCTTTGGAAAGAAAAAACTCCTTGAAAAGAAATTTTGGTGCATTATCAAATCTAAAAGCCTTGATACTGACACCAAATTGAGTCTCAACAAATGTGAAAAAATGAGGGATGATATTCAAAACATCAGACTTGTGACGAAGCATAAATAACCATGTATATCTAGAGCAGTCATCCACAATGGTGAGAAAGAAACAATATCAAGCATGCGAAACATGAGAAAATGGTCCCCAAACATCAGCATGTATTAAATCCAAAGGCTTGTTTGACAAATGATTATTTGAATGAAAAGACAGCCTCTTTTGTTTGGCTAATGGACATACATCACATGAATCAGTAAGAAAATCCTCCAATGAACAATTATCAACAGGTAACACACTCTTTAAAGCTGGTAATCTAGTAAAGGATGGATGACCAAGACGATTATGCCAAACATCAAATGAAACAAGTGTAAAAGCAGAAACACAAATAGACTGTACAGTAGAGGAACATTCTGAAGTATTGTCAAGTAGGTAAAGGCCATGACACAATCTACCCTTATCAATCGTCTTCGAAATGGACTTGTCCTGGATAATGCAAGTGTCGTTAGTGAATTCTACTGATAGAGAAGGCATGTCCCTCAACAATACATTAACTGAGATGAGGTTGAAATAAAACTCAGGAATGTATAAAACACCATGTATAGACAGATGATCAGATAACCGTACAAAACCAGAGTATTCAACCACAAATCGAGGTTTATTTGGCAGATTAACATGGACAGGAGAAATCTTGTGTATTTTATCAAACAATTTGCGACAACCACATATATGTGCAGATGCACCAAAATCGAGGATCAAAGATTGAGTATCAGTATCTACTGTGTAAGAGGTAGTAGTGTCCGTGTCAGCAACAAATTTGCCAGTTGAAAGCTGAGATTGAAGTAATTGAAAAAGTTGTTGGTAGTGGCTAATAGCATGAGAATTCGCATGTGAAGCGGCTAGGGCAGAGAATTCAGAAGACTTCGAAGCACCAGGATTCTGAGATCCAGGTGAAAATCGCTGACCACTTCGATAGCCAGGCGGATATCCATGTAACTTGTAGCATCGATCAGAAGTGTGACCAATGAGTCACAGTGAGGACAAACTGGATGGTCTTTGCGTACCTTCTGATTCATCACATAATTAGTGGCTTTCGAAGGTGGTTTAGATGCAGAGTGTTGAGCAACCAGTGCAAAGGAAGGAGCAGTAGGAATCGTAGCTGAGGTGCCAATCGATCTTTGCTGCTCGTCCTGTCGAACTAATGATAAAGCTTTATTAACAGATGGCGGCGGATCCATCAATAATAACTCTGCTCGAGTTGAACCGTAGAACTCATCGAGTCCCATGAGCAAATTGATAATGTATTCCAGTTGTAGAAACTCAGAAACGGACTTAGCACCACCACATGTGCAAGTACAAGTGCAAACGGGACGAAATTGATGTAATTCATCCCAAACAGTCTTCAACTTGGTGAAGTATAGACTCACCGATTGCTGCTCCTGAGTTATAGTAGCCAGATCACATTTGAGTTGAAATATGCGTGGACCATTGCTCTTCTAGAATCTCTCCTTAAGATCAAGGCAAATATCCCTAGCAGATTCTAAAAACAAGATGCTTGCAGAAATATCATTCGAAATGGAATACAAGATCCACGCAATAACCACATGGTTATTGCTAATCCATGCCGGTAGATGATCACTGGTGGGACACTCAATAGATCCGTCAATGAAACCTAATTTGTTTTTTACTGATACGCGATTATCATAGATCGGCTCCATGATGTATACTTTTCCTCTTTCAGAACTTGATTCACAAGAACCAATCCAGTATTATCTATATGATGGAGATAATACGAATTTGTAGCAGCCTCAGAAACAGATTGAGGCATAATGAAAGAAACTTCCGGTGAATTTGAAGGAGAGTCGGTGGGAACATTGGAGGCTATGGAGACGAAGAAGAATCGCGAAAAAGAAGGACGCGAAAAACAATGAAAAATGTCAAAAAAATGGCGCGGAGTCAAAATTTATGTGATACCATTTTAGTAATGAGAAATATGACATATTCTCATTAACTTTATAAAATAATACATCAAAGGTCTATATATATATACGAAAGACTAAGCTCACTAAATACAATGTGAATATAACTGAATACATAACATAACAATAACAGATTAACCAATTTAGGTAAAAGTAATAACAAGTTTAACCTCTAATAATAATATTAAAATGAATCACCCAAAAATTGAGCAAAAATAAGAGAGATAGAGATGGAGAACTAACCAGAAATTGAGCCAAATCTCATCTCCACTTGCGTTCCAAGAAAACCCAACCTACCCTCTTGGTTTTGGTTTTGGTATTAACACACGATATTCACCCACCAAATCAAGATTCAATCAACATTATTTCCCCCAAATCTTGTTTTAATCCCATAAAGTGGGAGGAAGTTGAGGGAGATTAGCGTATTGATTAATTAGATAAAAAGGATCAAATCCTAGCTTAGTTGCCCGAACAACACTATGAATCAAAGTATTAAACCAACAAATATATGGAGAGGGAGTGTAAGACATAAAGGAACAAGAGAGGATTGAATGGAAATAGAATTATCATTGCTTAAGAATAAAGCATCAAACAAACCAACTTCATTTGCAAGAACCCTAGCGTTTATTCGTCGCTCGTAGTAGCCAAATCGAGCCTCACTAACCGCGGATTATCCCTCTCTATTGCTAGATCCTTGCTCGCTCGCTTCCCAAGGCAATGGAGCTGCGCACAACAATTGAGAGTTTCGTGCAGCAAAGGGGTGAGATGTAGAAATTTTGGGAATGTAAAATTTTATGAGGTGAAAATTTAAGTTAGGGTTAAAATTGGTCACTTTTAGTATCGGGACCAGCCTAACGTTAAAAGTAGACTTACAATGACGGGCAACGCCTGACATCGAAACTTGAAAAAAAATCAAATCTAATTTTAGCTTTTTTCTTACATTGTCCGACATTGTTTCCTCCGTATTTTTTTGTTCGACATTAAAGCCTCCGTGTTTTTTTTATCTGACATTGTCTGATTTAAGTACTTATGAACAAAGATTACATGGACTAATCAAGATTATTAATCTTGTTAGGACTTCTCTCCCAAAACAGATGCTCAAACATGCGACAACACAACTCTTAAACCGTTCGACCCTCAGTCCTTCACGAGTCACGCCACATAGTCGGTCAGATGAACAATTACACTCAAACAAAAATATTTGGCACCCATATTTTTCTGGAATAACCATCCTTCTTATTTTCATGTCCTGTCGGATAGAAAGAAAATGAAACCCCAAAGAGCCCTACATTTCGTTACTCGAAAATCTTTTGGCAAACTCCAATCAAGGAATTCCTAATCTCTTCATTGTTCAATTCGACTCGTCGTCCCCTCCGGAAATTAAAATTATGGTGGGGTCATAAACAACTCTCAACGAGGATGTTGAGACTTTTCGAGTAATGGGCATCTTGGCATTATAATGAACTGCAGGTCGGTCGTGTTTAAGGAAAAATTCTAAGTACTCGAAGTTTATGAGTAGGAAAGAGAAATGTAGAAAGAGAGATTTTTTTTCTTAAATACAAGTCATCAAACTTTTAGTAGTGGTGAGCAGGAAGATAAGTGCTTACCAGTAAGTACCTAAATATTTTAATTCACTAAACAATCACCGGTAACGTTAGGTATATGGAAAAGATGGGCATAATAGTTGGTTTTTTTATTTGATGGCTAGTAGAATTCAATTCTAGTGATGCCCATTTTTTGGAAAGGGATGAAAAATTTTTTTTTCTTGGACTTAAATATGGGGATGTAATAAAATCATTAAAAAATTCGAAGATCGGGAATGTATTCCTCGCCGTGTCTATATCTTCGAATTTTTTAATTATTTTATTTTTATAGATTAATAAAGATTTATATAAAATTAACATGAATAAAAATAATTAATAATCTCTTATTTTAATTTTAAAAAATATGTATTTTATATGTTTTTTAAAAATGAGTTAAAGAAACCATTAAAGAAAGTAAAAAGAAAAAGTAAGAAGACACATTTGTAGAGCATCCTCAAATTTGCATTCATTCCTCTAAATTGGGGGCGATGGGAATTAAAATTGAAGGGTAAATATAGTTTCTTGCCAAATTAAAACTTTTTATAGATTTTAACTCAAGTTATTTTCAATATTAATCAATTTGGGATATTTTCATGTCGACTTGGTAAATCTTCTTATTCAGGCAAGTTTGGTCTGCAACATAATGATACTAGGCCAAATATGGGTTTTAATGTAGGACAAAAAATATGTAAGAAACAATGACGACAAAAAAAAAACACCGATGAAATAATGTTGGACAAGGTAAAAAAGGCGCTAAAATAAAAAAAAAGTTTTTGTCTTCAAATTTCAATATCGAGCCTAGCCCGCCATTGTAAGTATGCTTTTAATGTCGAGCTGAGCTCGAAATTAAAAGTGACCAATGACGGTAAAAAAAATTTCATGACGGGTAAAAAAGAAAACACGCGAAATTAGTGAGAAAACATTAAGCTACAATGTTGGTCCATGACAAACGATTATATGTGGTATATAAAATTGGTTTCTTTCCTCCTTACCCTAGCCACCCAATCTCTCATTTCTTTCAAGGTTAATCTCTTTTTTCCTCCCTCTAATCTGTGTAGCAGATACCCCTCTGTTTGGGATTTTGGAATTAAAATAAATGAAATAGCGCAAGTGTACACTCGTTACATGTAGTAAAACTGAATGAGTATTTCGAGTATCGATCCTAAGGAACAAATTAAGCCTTATCAATGAAAATGATGTCAATAGGTGACTTTGAAATTGAATTTGGGGCAAAAAATATCAAGGATAATGTTGGTTTTGGTATTTTAAGACTCAATGAATAAACTCAGTCCAGTTACTTCAATGTAGCTAAAAACACAACGAATATTTCCAACTAGGCACCAGGCGCGTCTGAATATTTTTCATCAGTTTTGCTTCGTCATCTTCTTATGTTTAAGTGATTTTGATGGTATAAGTTCATCCTTAATACGTCTATTCGAAAATTGAACTTAATTTGATAAAAACCAACTGTAACCTTAGGTCAAGGTCCTATGTCTAGGCTACCCGAGCGAAATCTTTATGTCTAAAGTATTTCTCTTCAAAGTTAAATCATTAAAGTTGTGGAAATGTATCAACCCTTTAAGTATTGATGCTTGGTTAAAACATTAATTGGCCGAAACAAGTTTTAACTTTGTAAAACAACCTTAAGTGATAAAAGAAAAGAAAAACAACTTTTGCTTTGTTCGATGTTAAAAACTTTAGCTAATTATTCATAGCCGAGCTTGGGAAAATAAATTTAGCTCATAACTATAAAGGAAACATCGAATTGAACATTGATGTAAATAAGAGACATTATTAAAAGATGAATATAATTAAAACAAGCTAAAAATGGTGGGGTTGTAACCCGAATGACCCTAACCCGTTCTCTTTCAAGATTGGGAAGCACTACTCAGTCAATTCCACAAGATTGTGTGATTACACCTTCGAAGATAAATAAAAATTAACGAGCTTGCTGGAATTTAACTTAATAAGATGAAAAGTTTACAATTGAAAAGTAACAAGCTAAAAAAACAAAGAATGAACTAGCAAATAAACTGTTCAAAATAAACAACTACATAACTAAAGGAAAATGTAGTAGACTGAAAGTAAAGTGAGGAAGGGATTCAAACTCACAACCTCATGGTTGGAGGTATATGTTAATTATTACCGCTGAACTATGCTCGTTTCGACGAGAGTCTTCCTTTTAAAACATCTTTAAGTTGATTTGTTGTTGAATTAGCCATCATTAATGCATGGAAGACACGTGGAGGGGCTGGGGAAGCTTCACAACACACAAAAACTCGCGTTTTACATTAAGGGCATTCTCAGAACTGGGCAAGGCACTAGATGCCTCTCTAAGATTTTTCTTGCACAAAATCGTAATTTCCATTAGAAATCAACTCTAAATGATGTAAAAATGTCATATATGCATATATAACCCAGGATAACTTCAGAATAAAGGTTTTGGACACTAAAGTAAGCTTAGAATAAGGTTTATTAATGTAAAACGATAGAAAACAACACTTAACTAGTTCTTTTTTACCATTGTAAACAAGGGAAATCACCCTCCCTCGTCTCTTTTTCTCCAACGAGTGCAGTGGTGATCGGAGCCATACCCATGAGAGCAAAAAATTCGACCAAGAAGTTTTATATGTGAAAACTTCCTGATGGTCTAAAATTTCCATCCATTGAATACAACTTTGAACTTTATTCAGGTTGTTGATTTAATTGTATTGTTGGATAGTCTCACTTTCGTGGTTGTAGATGAGTTGAGTGCAATGCTTACTCGTGCAATTACTTAGAGTCTTCTGAGGGCGTACTATAAGAATTTGAGATTGCTAAAGCTTGAAGTGTCAAAAATTCAGGTTCTTGACATGGGCAACCAAAGATGGTTATAAATTTCATATCCATAAATTATATATCTTAAAATCTTATTATCACCTGTTACCTATTAAGATGCACATAATCTATGGTTTTGATCAATTGACGTTCCTATTGGCCCGCTGCAAAGCTTTCTTATTTCAGATAGTAAGTCGATCGCATATTTTTGTTGTGATAAGAATATGCCTTGTTTAGAATAGGCGATGTCTATCTCAATAAAATATTTCAGCTTTCCTAGTTCTTTAACTTCAATAATATCGTCGACATACACAATCAGTGTTGTCACTCCCCCTGTAG